TTAAAAACTCAAGCAAATCAGACGTGATGCAACCCAGTCTCACGGCAACTCGTTAAATAGTCACCAAATTTATTCTATTGTTTCGTGTGCTGGGCTTTTTCGTGTTCCCCAGCATGAATTTCAAACCAGTACATTACAGCTGGAATTATCTTTCATGTCTGGGACACGGTTTCCCATCAGACAGCACATATACTGGGATGTTTCTGTTGTTCTGTTAGACCCGATTCTTTAGTTGGAAGCCCAAGAACAAGAAGAGAAATCTTCAGTTGTCAGATGTAGTCACAGGTAAAGTGAGGCAGCGCTGGATTTAGAGGGACAGAGAGGAACCTCATGTCCAGCTGAACTGAGTTTTTTTTTGGGTTCAGGTTCCAGATATCTTCTTGGGCTGGGCCTGCCCCGTACAGTCCAGTCAGAGGTTGGACTGGTACACTACCAAGTTTAGTGACTGTGACGTGAACAGCCTAACCAGTGTTCATGTGGAGGTTCACTGAGATGTAAACAGAACCTGCTTGGATTGAATACAGAGTGTGTGAGTGTGTGAGTGTGTGTGTGTGTGTGTGTGTTGTCCAGAAGGTGTGTATCTAAAGCAGCTGATAGAATAGAGGAGTTTCCGTTGTCTCCCAGTTCTCAGCGGCCATATTATCTTCAAGGTCGTACGCTGTGCTCAGTACGACAATACCAAACAGAATCATAGGCTCAGTGCTAAATACAGATTCACAATAATAATAGCTGAAACTTACTTAATTATAACAATGCAACCCAGTCTCACAGCAATTCGTTAAATAATCACGAAATTTACAAGTCCGCAAGAACGCAAGTACGGACAAGTAGGCATATTGAGACACGGCTAGAGTGTCCGTTAAGTGCAGAGTGGAAGCGAGACAAGAGGTGCGCTTGTTTTATGTTCCAGCTGCTCCCGTCACTAACACCACCACAATGCTCTGTTCACCCCGTCCCCATAAAGCTGCGCTGTAACAACCAGCTAGCGCTCCTCAATGAAACCACCCAATGACAGGACAGTTATTTCACCAGGGGGGCCGAGAGGGGGCCAATCAGATTCCAGCAGGGGCGCCTGTGGCCCCTCTCCTCCCTTCACCTGTGGCTGTCAGACCACCACCTGGAGGACAGAGCAGGAAAAGGCTAACAGCAGCTTTGTGTTTGACCTCTGTGTGACAGCCGCTGAACTTCCTGTTTGGGCGTCTTGGTGGGCCGGAGTTCAGGCTGAAGAACAGGAAGTCCATCAGCGAGCTGGTTGTTCATCAGCTGATCCTCTCTCTCTCTCTGGGCCTGGATGTCCTTCAAGTTGTGTGGATTCTTGTGTTTTCTACATTTTGACACGTTAGCTGCTGCTCACACACACAGTTCTGATAGTTCTGACCCATTTAGCTTGTTTGGGTGAATTATGTTTGGTTAAAATAAATGTAAGTGTCGTTGATCCCGTGGGGTCCTCCTCTCCTGGAGCTGGGTCATGACATCTGTGAGCTTCCCACTGAATTACTAAATTCATTTCTTTACTGCTAAAACTGGAGACTAGCGGCTAGTTAGCTACCACAGCCTGCTAGCATGCTAACATTTATCATCTGTTCTGTCCTCACAGCAAACATGGAGCTTTGTAAGGTTCATATTCTCCATAAATGTTATTAATAAGTGTTTCAGTAGATCAGAATTCATTTACTGATGAAAGTGAAAGCAGACAGGCGCGTTCAGAGACACCACGGTGGAGAATCGACAGAAACAGCAGAAAAATCTGACCTGAAGTCAGCCTGTGAGTCGGGATCAGCTGAACTCAGATAACCAGCTCTGATCGTAGAACGCTGCTGTGACGGTGTCGGTGTTAAATATAGTGAAGGTGTTTTAATATGTGGAAGTCCATAAAAAGAGACGACAGATGAGCCTGAGTCTCTGTTAATTCATTTCACTTCACTCACAGCAAGACTGAACTCAGTTCAGGCAGTTAGAAGTTTTCCAAAACCAGAAACCGGACCTCTGTCGTCCCTTCAAAAGTCCTGGTGTCCTGATCAGTGTGTGAGACCTGCAGAGCGAGGACACACCCTCACTCCCAAAGCTTCAGTGTTTCTGTTCTGGGGTTTTTAGACATTTTCTTCTGGTTACTTTGGTTTGCGTGGTCCTACCAGCAGGTACAGCTAATAACACCAACAACAGGACAAACTGACACGGTGCTCGTTCTAAATACTGAAAATAACAACAGGAGATGAACAGGAGTTTAATAAGCACAGTGTGACGGGTTTTTTTCTTGCCTCCCGCTATGATGTAATGACTATGTTCTCGTCTGAAGATGAGAAATGATCTCGCGCTCTGACAGAACGTTCTCGCTTTGTGGTGAGAGCGAGGGAGGAAGTCTCCCGGCAGATTAGAATCACACCTTCTCAGCAGCGGCGGCGGCGGTGAACACGCGTGGCTGATGAGCCGGTATCCGTCTGCAGCGCTGACACGGCTGAGGTCGGAGGTCATCATGTAGGAATGCAGCCCAGTTAGAAAACCAGTGTAACGGTGAAATAGCTGCGATTTCCCAAACCGGCTGATAAAACCATTGATGTCTTGAGACAGAGGCGATCACTTCACATTGTGCTGGTTTAGATCTGGAGCTTCGCTGTATTAACGGTGACCTGTGAGGACATGATGAACGACGAGAGTGATGTTCAGCAGAAATACACCGTTTAGATTTGTATTTAAAAAATAAACAGGAGGAGAAAGCAGCTTTTTTTATTCTCATAACATCTCTTGTCTAGAATAAACTCATATTTGTTTTCTTTAGCATCAGACTGAAACCCAGTCAGTCGAGCATGTCACCAGATAAGCAGCTGTGGTAGTTTCACACCACAGTCTGACTGACTGTAGGCTTTTCTCAGATGATGTTTTAAAAAAAAAATTAGAATTTAACGCAATTGAATTATAATAATAATTATAAAAATACTGCTGTCCTGCTAAAATCAAACATTTTAAAATAATAACTTTATTTGTTTAGCACGTCTTAGAGCACAAAGTGCTTTTACATAATGAAAAAAACAACATGTATAATAAAAAGTACAGATAAACACAATAACAATGGAAAAGAACGGACTGGGTCACTCTTGAAAGGTGTGCTCCTAAAACTGATTAAAAAACTGATTAAAAAGACGACATCAGGGGAATGGAGATAAAAGTAGATTAAGAAAGATAAAAGAAGGATGGCAGGTAGTACGAATAAAAAAAGGGAAAAGAAACAGGAGAGAATCTAAAAGAGAAATAAAAGAGAACGTCACTCAGGAGCGAGTCTCTAAAAATGGGTTTTAAGAAGAAGATACTGAATCTGAGAGCCTGATTTCCTCAGGCAGCTCGGTCCAAAGCCGAGGGGTCCTCACAGGAAAGGCCCGGTCGCCTTTGGATCTGAGCCTCGACTTTGGAACGATGAGGAGGAACCCACCTGAGGACCAGAGGCTGCCTGTGGGGACATACGGGGTTAACATGTCTAAAACATAGCCGGGTAAGGCGCTGGTGAGCTTTATAAGTGATCAAAATCCTAAAATCAAGTAAGTACAAAGTAAAGCAGCGTTTTTAAACTGTTTGTTATGGAGTTAAACAAACGTTTGGAGTGACACAACACACGCTGTCTGATGCATGTCACTGATTACAGTCATTCAGCTCCAGCGCTGGTGTTTTTGTTTTTATTATGTCTTATGATTTTATTGTCACATCCTCGGTCTGCTGACTGCAGGATAAGTCGCCCTTCACGGATAATAAAGATTAACTTGAACCTTGAAAGACAAGAGAAAAATTAAACTGACATTTGAGTGGTTGTGAGATTGCATCACAGTGAAGGATGTGTGTGGAGGCATATGACCAACCCCGAGTGGGCCGGTCCCTTCGCTAACTCAATATATCTGCAGAGCTGAGTTCTCTGGTTGCTTCTTCAGGCTTTAGAGAAACCCAGAGAGAGAGACGGCGTTCTCTGGCAGCAAATATGGAATGAGCTGTGGTTAATAAATAAAACCAGCAGCAGGTGAGTCTATTTTTGAATCTACATCGTAGACAGTTCTGTTGGCTGAGGGCTTTAAATGTCTGATAAAATTAAATTCACGTGTGTTTCATTAGAAGAGCCAGTCTCAGGCTCTCACACCTAAACTTTAACAGCACCACTGTGTTGTTTAGAGAAAAGATTTCATGCACAATAGTGTCACTGTTGTCGGTGTTCACACTCCTGATGTGGGCAGGAAGCTCACGGCTTTCTGTCAACACATGTATGTAGCAGCCAAGCTGCAAGAAAGACAGACCACGAAATGATCAACTTAAAGGCTTTTATTTGCACTAATATGCCTTTTATGTATGTCTGGTGTATCTGTTGCACACTCGCCCTTTTCACAAGCACTCAGTCGCTCTGCTTGTTTCATGTTTTTGTGGTTTGTAAGAAGTGTGAAATAGCTTCACAGAAAGTTTACTAAATGCCTTCCTTCTCCTTTTTCTGTCATTTTGACATCGTTCAACTGTTCTTACAGTTGTGTAATTGCCTTTTGTTTCATAAGGGCTATTTCTAAAGTGTTTCCACAAACCTTGTTAACTGATTTAGTCACAAACACGATTACTTGCTGGACAGGATTTCAGCAGCATGAGCAGCTGATACATGGACAGAGAGTCGCTGGTTGTTTGGCAGGAGGGCGTTACACTTTATTATAAAGATGGAACAAGATTTAATCTGCATCGACTGGATAAACGTGTCCCCAGGCTCTATGTAGCATTGAATGCATTTCTACCACTGAGCTTTACTGAGACTTGTTTCTAAATGACTGCGTCCATGTTTCACCTGTAGGTCCTACAGCCTTCATCTGCAGGTGAAGAAACATCTGCTCACTATGGAGCCGAACGGACCAGTGAGTCCCGCCCAGGACGGTGCAGCAGCACCCAGGTGGAGTGTCGGCTCCGGCTCCGGCCTGCATTACGGCTCCTTCGTGAACAGCCTTGCATCGCTGACGCCCAACGCCGTGGAGAGTCCGGCCATATCCCCCCGACGCGCCCACTTAGCCGTGGCTGTGCTTTGCTACGTTAACTTGCTCAACTACATGGAGCGGTACACAATAGCAGGTTGGATGATCTCCTGTGTACACACGACAACACCGCAAGTCAACATCCACTGTTTACTGCCTCTCATTTGGTGGCACTCACAATGATTTACTGTCACACAGGCGTCCTGTCCGACATTCAGGCCTTCTTTGAAATAAGTGACAGTACAGCTGGACTCCTACAAACAGGTACGAAGACGTGTCTCCATGTGTCAGAGTGTCAGAAACACACACGTGTTGCTAAAGATGAACATGTGCTGCTGGTGATGTGCAGAGCACCGTGCAGTACTGCAAGGCAAAGAGTTAAATTAGGAACTGACACACACATAAGTGACACTTTCTGTTTCTAAACTGGTCACAGTTCAGAGTTTTGGTGCCTAAACTCTGACTGTCATTCTTGCAGGGGAGGTTTTGACAAAGATTCATGAGTGATGTTTCCTCGTTAACTGTAAATCAGTGAGTCAGCGCGGCACATTACACAAACTGAATCGATTTTTCATGCATTTACAGTGTTTATCTGCAGCTTCTTGCTCTTGGCGCCGTTGTTCGGTTACCTCGGGGACCGCTACAACCGGAAGTACATCATGATTGGTGGTTTGAGTGTGTGGCTTGTGACTGCAGCTGGCAGCTCTTTTGTCTCTGCATCGGTAAGTGAGAAATGCATGAGTCATGAACACTTTCCAAGAAATAAGGAGTAACACAATAATCAGAGGATGTCACTCCATGCTGTTAGTTAGTTCTAGTTCCTCTGTCGTATATCCAACATGCCGCTGAGCGCTGGATGGCAGGGCTGCAGGTCAGGGTACTTTCCCTCAGAGACATGCAGAGCTTATCTAGTCGCAGTGGTAAGAACAGGCATGTGAACATCTTAAAGCTGCACTGAGGTGGTCACAAAGTGAGATTGAATCTTATCTGACTCACATGCGCTTCAGCTAACAAGCCAACAACTACAACTGTTGGTGTCTTTATTGAACTCAGACATCATACATTTCCGGAGCTGGTGGAAAAAGAAAGTTAAATAAGTTTAATAGGTCGCGCTGCGTTTGATAGCAGTGACTATAAACTAAGTCCAGTCGCTGCCCAGCAGACCTCAGTCACACAGATTTCTTACTCACAGAGCTGTTTCCGTTCAGCCATGTTCTAACACTAACCGAGCCTCTGGATTCCAGAGTATCCCGTTTGGACTTAGTTCTAAGTTGTGTCTGCCACTCCTAAAGTCATTCTGTTGTAGATTTACTTTATTGTTCAGGGTTATATTCCTGCTGCAGCTTCTACTGAACTTCAGCTGTTGCCCAGTCGCCCTGACTCATCCTGTAAGATAAAATGATTAACTTGGGATCATTTTCTCTCCATGGTGGTGTTGCTGTCCAGCGCCTCATGCAGCAAAGCTTTCTCCACTTACCTGTTATTGCCCCTGTGTATGCTTAAAGAAACATTACATGGGGGCTGCATGGTGGTTAGTATCGTCACCTCGTAGCTAGAAGGTTGCTGGTTGGCGTCCCGGTGAGGACACCCGGGATCTTTCTGCATGGAGTCTCCATGTTCTCCCCGTGCAGCGTGGGTTCTCTCCGGGTTCTCCGGCTTCCTCCCACAGTCCAGAAACATGCTGAGGTTAATTGGTGTATAGATAATGGATGGATGGAAATATTACATAAAAGAGAACTCTTACGCTGTTCTTTTGGAAAAGCCATTCGTCTTGTTGATTGCTGGTTAGACCAAAGTTGGACTACTGGACCGTACAGAGTCATGCTGATCCTCTGCACCATTGTCTTGATTTATTTAGCAATTCTGGCTCCTCGCTCTGCTGCGAGCGTTGGTCGGGATCGGAGAAGCCAGCTACTCCACCATCGCTCCCACCATCATCGGTGACCTCTTCACTGGGGGGAAGCGGAGCATCATGATCTGCGTCTTTTACGTCTTCCTCCCTGTGGGAAGGTCAGAAACACACTCAGTCTTTGGTTGTGTTTTTCTCTGTGCATGTTTTATCACATTAATTCAAAACGTGTACCGCTGGGTGGTAATGCGATTAAAAGCATCGATTGTTCCATGATGACTTGTAATCGTTGCCTTCGCTGCTGGTGTCAAACTGTCTATCTTCAGGTGTCAGCTAGTTTTACAGCTAATTTTCACAATGTTCTGCCGAAAGCTTCCACTTCTTATTAGTTATGAGATGAGCTGAACATGCATGCACAGGCCTTTATGCATTCTGAAGACGTTTTCCTGTGTTTCCAGTGGTCTTGGATACATCGCCGGGGCCGGGAGTGCTTCTTTCACCGGGGACTGGCACTGGGCCCTCAGGGTGAGAACAAGTCCGCTATCAGCACTGTGAAAGCCCTGATCAATACACAGTGATTGACGTCTTATTGTCTTTCTGTGTTATGCACTATTTCTTATATTTATATGTACATTTTTTATTTTTATTTTTTTCCTGTCTCGTATATGTGTACCTCTGTTGAATGCTGCTACCAATGATGTGAATTTCTCCACTGTGAGATAAATAAAGGCATATCTTATCTTATCTTATCTTATCTTATCTTATCAGATCACCCCCATTCTGGGTGTCTTGGGACTCGTCTTGATGATCCTCTTCTGCCCTAACCCACCCAGAGGTGCTGCAGAGACCCAGGGAGAGGGCGTCACCACGCAGAGCTCTTACAAGGAGGATGTCAAGTATCTGCTGAAAAAGTAGGACGTGTAAACAATACCGAATCAAAAGTTAGGGTCTGGCTGACATGGGGGGTTTTGGAGAGTATAAAAAAGCAGATAACAATATATTAGACACAGAACAAAACAGATATTGTGGATAATTTAAATAATTTGGTTGTTAAAGATGGAGGATAATAAATATGAACTGTCAGTGCCCTCTGGTGGACAAAGGATGTAATGGCATCATTGCTTTTCTTAATAATGACTTTTATATATTTACATTTATTTTTCTCTAATGCCAGTTTTTGTGGACTTAGGCTCCACCCACATATAATTAAAGGCCCTTAAACAAAGCATCTATCCAGCACTGCTCCTCACACGGTCCCCAGCAGCACAAACACATCAGATGATCTGCTGCTGAGCTATGAACACAACAAAGATTTCTTCATTTGTTAGCAATGAACATCTTCTAATCATCTTGTCCTCTGACCCCAGTAAGAGCTACGTGCTGTCATCACTGGGCGTGACGGCTCTGGCCTTCCTCACCGGAGCGCTGGCCTTCTGGTTGCCCACTTTTCTGACCAGAGCTCGTGTCACTCAGGGACTGCTGCCACCCTGCACCGAAGAGCCCTGCGTCTCCACGGACAGGTACGGCCTCACCTCTGACCCGTCGCTTGCCTCATCCTTTAAAATCTCTGCAGAGTTTTAACAGTGTGCCTCTGTGCAGTTACGCCTTCGGCGCCGTGACGGTGGCGACGGGCATTCTGGGAGGGAGTCTTGGCACTTTTTTATCCAGACGGTTAAGGGATAAGATGCCAAATGCGGACCCACTCATCTGTGCAGTCGGTATGCTGGGATCGGTCCCCTGCCTTTTTATCATCATCTTTGTGGCATCTACAAGCATTCCAGCCACTTATGTAAGAGACAACCTTCTGTCTTTGCTGGCATCCTCTCGCCGAATCTCCATGTTTATTTCAGACTCTAGAGATGGTAATGTTGGTGTGTCAGTCAGTCCACTGCCTCGGTCCAAACGCAAATATGTCAACTATTATTGGATAATAGAAATATTAATATCATCAGAAATATTAATCTATATGATGTGACTGTAAAGAACAGAGCAAAATCTCTTCTTTTTCAAATTGTACTTGATCTTTTACAGTTTGTAACCATAAAAATGGCTTTTCTCTTTCTTTCTTTCTTTCTTTCTTTCTTTCTTTCTTTCTTTCTTTCTAGTTCCTTCATTAAATGCTCCTTTCGGTCTCATTTCAGGTCTTCATCTTCTTTGGTGAGCTGCTGCTGTCACTGAACTGGGCTGTCTTGGCTGATATACTGCTGGTGAGCTGCTGAGTTGTGCTTTTGGCAATAAAAAAACAATACGAAGCTGTTCTGTTAAGACGTGAGGCTAACAGGTTGTTGTGTGTCAGTATGTTGTCATACCGACCAGACGGTCCACTGCTGAGGCTCTGCAGATCACAGTGGGTCACCTCCTGGGTGACGCTGGGAGTCCTTATCTATTAGGAGTGGTGAGAAACACTTTTACTTCCCCTCTGCCTTCCTTCCTTTTAGCTCTTCTGTGAGTTTAAGGACGTCCCTGTTTTTCTGTTATTAATGCGCCTACACCGTTATTGCAGATCTCTGATGCTATCCGCACATCTGACCCTGAAAACTACGACTGGAGCTTCCACAGTCTGAAGTACAGCCTCCTGGTCTGCCCGTTTGTCGGCATCTTGGGGGGAGTGTTTTTCCTCAGTACCGCCGTCTACATCGCTGACGACAGGAAAGCAGTGGAGCAGCTGCTTCAAGGTGAAGTCACCACAGACTGACCAGCTTCTGTCCTGGTCTCTGACCTGCACCTCCACGCTAAAGTTCACACATTCTGAGAGTGTTTGTGATTTCTTTTGGACAATGTTTTTGTGTGAATGACACACTGGTGCAAGTAAGTCCTCACTATTTGGTCTGTCAGTGTGTGTGTGTGTGTGTGTGTGTCACACACATGCTGCAGTGTCCAGCCTGCTCTGAACACTAGTCCTTTATTCAGCTGCCTCACTAAAGCCAGCTCTCCCCCTGTTAAGAACAAATTCCACTTATCTGCACACATACCCCAAAAACACACGGGCAGTCTAGTTTTCTGGCAGCTCGGAGGCCAAGATGGGCCACGGTTGATAAAGACAATATTGTCTTCTGAACTGAGCTCATTCTTTACATTCTGTTGGACTGTTAGCTGTGCACGGGGCAGCTGCACCAACAGGACAGCTTCACTCATATCACCTGAGTAGATAAAGGCTTCAGGCCTGACGTTCTGACATGCACATGCACCTCTCTGATTTCACACCAACTACAAATGCTCCCTGCTTTAATTCAAACTGTTTAAACGTGCCTTTGTGTCACCAGGTGCTCCTCAACCCCAGCAGGAGCCCACGCCTGATTCCTCCGTGGAGCTGAGCGACCAGGTGAAAGCGTGAAGCTCCACAAAAGCTATCATGTAAATAAAGTCTGTATTTGATGTTAAGTTAAAAATCTGTGGTGTGCAGAGCAGAATGTATGGGCCGACTTGAAGAAAATGCTTTTAGTCACTTTACACCCACACACTGATTGTAGAAGCAAAGAAAACGGGTGCATTCACACTTAAAGACCATCACAGACTTTTTAAAAACTGTCTGTTCACTTGTTCTCTCAGGCTTGTCTGGAGTCAGTTTTATTTGTAAAGCCTCTGAGGGCTTTACAGTGAGTACTGTACACCGTGTAAAACTCACCCTCCTCCACTCATTTACAGGACTTGACAAAAGAAATCTGAACTTGTGTTGTGCCTTTTCTCTTCAAAGCAGTGCATCAGTGTGGTTTCACAGTGGAAGTGTTGTCACCACGATACCTCCCGGTTCACTGGCACTGTGCGGTATACTTGAAAAGTAAATGTAATTATATATTCTGTCACTGTAAATGTTGTTTTTTAATGTTTTAATAAATGTGATTATCTATCTATCTATCTATCTATCTATCTATCTATCTATCTATCTATCTATCTATCTATCTACTTTACATACAGTTTGGTACAGTGTTTTCTGACTTGGATGCAATCTCTAGCAAGGGTCAAAATGTTAATTAAAGAGGTCATTTAATATATAATATGTAAAGGGAAGAAAAGAAAAAAAAATTGCTCTATTCTATTATTTGGGAGGGATTTTGAATAATCAACTGAATCCTTTTACTGCCTACTGTCTCTGAGTCTTCCACTGATGGAGAACATCTGGAGACGGTCAAAGAGTCAGAAAAGCTGGAACCCGTTTCTTTAACCTCTGTTGTTTTATTCTGTAAGGTTGTTATGTTTTGTTTTAGACTTAACCTCCATCTGACATATGAACATACCAGAGAAATGTGGTGCTGACGCCAAAGCCTCAGAGCAGTCAGGTTCACTGCTGTCTCACCATCTTTCACTTCCTTTTTATTTTCTTAACCATTCTCCTGAATGCTGCTGACACCTGTCTATGCTCCCGTGGCCGGTGTGGACTGCAGATTCTCCTTTCCCCACATCAAAGCCTCTGTCAGAAAATGCTGAATTTGCCAACGTATCCACATTTAGGACCATCACATTAACCCTCCGTCCATGTAGCGTCCCAGCCAGCGTGCAGCTGCTGCCTCCTAATGAGGACCAGCGAGCCCTCAGGCTGGACCACAACATATGCACATGATGGGCTTAAGGATGGAGGATCCTCATTCTCCAGTCGCTGTATTTATTATAATCCACTTATTTCAGTGGATCCTGCCTTAACGCTGCACGTTGTCCCCCTTGCTGAAGCCCTAAACATCAATTTAAAAATGTACTCTTTCTACTTTGGGATCAACTTTGTCCACTAGATGGCGCAGCTGCATTACTGCAAAAACCATGCAGTCATGAGGATCCCGGTTGTCGTCCATTAGTGAGGCACAATGGATTCATCAGATAAGACCGGCTGAAAAGTGCTCATGTTTGCATGTCCACAGTGTGCACGTTCACTGTAATGGTCTGTCCTCTGTGTGCAGCGGCGTTATTACATGTAATGCTGCTACTGACAGGATAATATATGTTAGTAATTAGCACTGCCATTAAAAAACAAGTCACCAGACAATACCCAGCCTGGTAGGCACTTATTACTGTCTTTATGGCTGATGTTGATATTGCCTTTAAACAACAGGCAGAGACACAAAAGATTAGAATAAACATGAATAATGGAACATAATATATAAATAAATATACATAGATACACACATAAGAACACGTAGATGTATATATATTAGTACACATGATAGCATATTCACATCTACACCTCTGGGGAGGGAAAATAAATGGAAAAAAAGCCCCATGTTTCATTACATGGACAGTTATTGACCTAATGAACATTTCATAGTGTGTCTCACATATGAAACATGCATTATGTATGTTGTTAACATCCACAATGCACACGGTCACAACACATTCCCAGACACAGTAAACCTGTGAATAGTCAGGACGACACCTTGACTGACTGCATTCTTCAGAACTAAAGCATAAGTATGAAATGAATACGCTGCTGAGTCCTGCACGTCTAAATATGCAAACATACGGCAGATATTTTAACACCACCTCATATACAGAAAGAGGTGAAACTTCACAGCAGTTCTTCCTTTGTCCTTTCACATACTATCAGTGTTCATGCTGTATGGTGACGGCAGGTGTGATGTGAAAGGATGAAGGTGAGAGGAGGTGAGAGGACTGAAACCCAGCAGTGTTGAACTCTTGCACAAACACGACGCCTGGATCCGTCTCTCCCAGACGTCAGAGGAAGTGCTGGTCAATAAAAGTGACACAGACGCCTCCTGCAGTTGTCTTTGTGGTGTGTTAAACCGACCACACGACTATTGATATGAGCTTAATCCAAACCTGTGACTTTAAGTCTGCTGAGCTCATGGAACACGATAGGAGTTAACTTCCATCATCTCAAGCTCGGCTGCTCTTGTCAAAGACGAGCACAGACCAGACAAACAGGCCATATTTACATACCCCAGCGTGACAGCCGGCTGTCAGTCAGCTTCTAAACCGTTCAGACAGCTGCTGCAGAGGTGTCTAGCGTCCCCTGGCCCATCCTAACAGCTGCATGTCATTGCATGTTTCCATTGTTTTGCACCAGAGGAGAGCACACAGGGAGGTCAGAGGTCGCTGCCCTTGTCACGCTCAGGTACAAGGTCATGCAGTAATTGGGCTGCATTGTCATCATGCTCAGTAACTGCTGCACAGAGGGACAACTTCACCGAGGTGGGATCTTGTACCAGGATTTATGGCCATTTTAGAAACGCAAACATTTCCTTTTAAAGTGATAAAACTGTTGACCAAACTTGACTTTTACAAATGGACGAACGCTGCAGTTCAAGGACGGGAAGCTATTGTTCAAGGTTTCACGGCGCTATCGAGAAATTCGCTGGTATTTCCTTTTGTTTTTTTGAACATTTCACCCGTGAGCTTGTAATTTTCCAGAAGCTATGTGATTAGTCAGTATGCCAGGGGAACAGATTGGGCAGCGTGACATACCTGTGTACGCCGAATAACAAGCGAGAACACACGCACACGGTAAGGTATGTGGAAAACATGCTGGAGGTAACAGTTCAACACGCAATTAAAACACAATAGGTATTGTGCACTACGTTTCAGAGCACTTTATCTGCATACCTCTCCATTTCCCCTGTCGACCCTGGCTGTACAGGAAACTGTCACAATGGCTAATAAATTGCACAGGCCGATCAATGAGGGAGCCGGGAGCAGGGGGGGAGCGGATACAGACAGTGTTTACTCAGGGATAGGCAGCGTTTTAGTCGTGAAAACAGCCATGTTTCAGGCCTGGTGCAACATGAGGGTGGTCCTCAATCAGAATGCTGTCGTGCTGTTATTAATAACCAATAATGGCTCATCACACACATTTACTGTAGCAGCAGAGACGGCTTATCTATCCCGTGTTCATGTTATTCTCACCCCTCCGTGGATCAGCCGCAGAGCCGTGATAAGGGAAGTCTGACCACATTTGTGGATGTGAAGTTGCAGTTTTTCCTTATCGCCAGCAAACTGCTGCGGTGTCATGACATCATGCGGAGGAAGAGTCCTCTCCACCCTCTTCACCGACACTTATTTGGAACATTACATCATCTGGGCCTTCCTGCCTTTAATAAAGACAAACAAACATTTCCTATTTTACTGTAAAGTGTCAGGACAACAAGTAGAGCAGCGCCGGCTACATAAAGTCAGATGGTTAGGACCTGTCTGCTGCCACTGGGTTGCTACAGTTACGTCTATAAGATGCTCAGCTTTGTGTGCATTTGAAGAGCGATACAAGAACAACAGAAATGTGTTGATTGGGCTGTGAGGGTGATAATTCACACGGGCGTACACGCATGCAGAAATTTGGAAATGCTGGTGTTAATTAACGCAGGACTGTTGATGCACTTAAACGAGACACAATGTTAGTGGAAGAAATCAAACAATCTGGAAAAATGTGTTGCTTTCAGCTTGATTTGAAAAAAAAAAAATGTTTGCAGTTTTTAGGCGATCTTGTATTTCAATTAATAGTTTTTGCTGTTTGTGTATCAATCTAGTCTTTTCACATTGTTTGAAATATGCCTTTGTTTGGAGCAGAGAGCACAAATGTGGACTGTGATGGAAATGCAGCCAAATCTGAGGTCGGCCCTATAATGGCATATGCACTTTCGGCTCCTATGTATTTAGCATTCCTGTTTCGGAGGTTTGCCGGCCACTGCGCTGGAGAGAGCTGATTCACAGACTAGGCCATGGCAATAGTGTAATTACAATGCAGCCTATAAATACGAGCTGCTGCACCACACAGATCTGGTCTCGCTGTCCTCGGCTACATGGCAACTCAGATTTCTCCAATTAGGCAGGGCTTGACGTAGGTTTTTCAGCTGCATCACAAACGCAGTTGCAGGAAAATGACTCAAACAAAGGAGATCAACGTGATGGCATTGAGGCCGACAGTGGAGTCTGGTCTGGATTTACCTCCCAGACAGATCAACTGAGACTGATGACCCGGGACCGAGGAGTCCAACTTGGATGGAGCTGTCGAATAAATAATTAAATGGGCAGATAAAAGACGGCGTCTCTACCCCTGAACACTATATTTAGTCGCTGCTGTCTCTCTGCCTCCTGCTGCTGCACTGTACAGTATAGCCTCCAGATCAGACTTCCAAGGAGAGCAGACATCAGCTCAGATCTATTCAAATCCTCAGCTGCTCTGCCGCCAAACGCTCTGTTGCTTGAGTTTGGGAGTGCGTGGCAACAGAGGGGGGTCGCTCCTGCAGGCCACAGTCGGCCACAGACGGTCCACGGGTCAGGAGGTCGCAGAGGATGAAAAAAGGTCAGGATGGCAGAGCCCACACCTCAAGACTGACCAAAGCCGAGACGGCACCGGCTCCAAAAACAAACGTATGAGGAGAACGGAGGTGGGGTGGTCCAGTGCCACCAGATATTGCGTCCTCTCAGAGCCAAAAGTCACAGCTCCCAGTGATGATAAGAGCTCAGTGTTGCTGGTAGGAAGAATACGAATTTGGTCTCTGTTTTTCAAGAGGTTTCTCAAGTTCCCTTCCTGAAAACGTTCAGGTTTGAATGCTACCAGTTTAAATTGTATTAAATAAAAAGAGCGAGTTCTGTCCCAGTCCCTTATTCTCACTGTGTGAAATGAGTCTGGTTGGACGCTTCACTGCCTGACCACTGAGCCAAGCAGCTCGACCAGAACTGAGGACATGGCTCAAATAGAAATGGATCTAGCAGAAATCCAGAGCAGAGACACGTCACGTCAAACTGAAACCCACTCCACATTATCTTAGAAAACAAAGATGTGCTATTCTTTTAAAATCAGAGTTGTACATTTTCTCATGTTATCCCATAACATCCCTGGGCGGCAGTGGATGTGCTCTCTGGGTTTGCTGAATGTGACCAAAGCTGCGGCCGAGAGGCTCTTTTTTAG